TTTAGGGTTTAGGGTTTGGGATGGTGTAAGTCATCTGGGGATAGGGTTTAGAGTTTAGGGTTTAGGGTTTAGAGTTTAGGGTTTAGGGTTTAGGGTTTGGGGTTTGGGGAGACCCGCGACCAAACACCCTAAGCCAATCACGCCGAACCCCGGGCAGGCACCAGTCGAGCCAGTCGTGCCAGGCGCACGGCACGGCCAATGCGCACGGCACGGAGGATGCTTAGGTCGATACCTTGGCGTCTTGGCGTCTGTTGGGGATTTCGGAATTTCAGGGCACAATTTTTCGGGTATATGACAGTCATGTGAAGATCTAAATCGGGTCAGGAGTAACTATGGTCAGTAAAGTGCTGAAATTCCAATTTGACGTGCTCATGATGCTACTTATTCTACTTGCGACAAACCATGAACCTCAACAAGGATCGGGCATGGGCTCCTGCTCTGGACGTAAGGGCGTTTAGGATTTTAGGATTTCTGCAATGCAGATTTCAAGTTGATCCATTCGCGTGTGTCCGATGTCTACTTCCTGCGCACGAGATGTCTTTAAAGCATGGCCTGCTAAAAACCGATCCTCCTTTGAATGCTTCGGTGCGGTGCAGTATTCAGGCTCTAGGGCTTTGGGGTTAAAGGTCTGGGTAGGATGATTCAAAGCTTTCGGGAGCCTGAATCATAAGAAAGGAACTGGGCACTTGGACCCTTAGGGCAGCAATAGCCAGGCCAAAACTAAGCCTTTGTTGGTGCCCTCTGTCAACACCGGAGCCCTATAGGCCTTCTAAGGTTACAGGGTTTAGGGATCAAAGACATGTATAGCTGCTTTTTGTACTCAACTCGGGTAATGGGGACTGCAGCTACCAAACCCCCAGGCCCTGTGTAAACCCTAAAGTCAAAAGCCCTTCGTTTGGAAGCCTGATTACTCATGGTGTCCAATCTGCAACATACATACATTATCTAGTGAATCCGGTGGAATAACCGTATTCTTCCTCAGGCTTTCCCAGCTAATAGTGCTATATTCTGACAGAAAGACTTCTTCTTCCGGCACGTATATTTGACCTGGTCCGGGCCGCTCTCTTCCGTGTTCTCGCAGTCGCGGCCTCTGCCTCGAAATTGGAGCTCCCTAAACCCTAAAACCTAGACCCTAAAACCTTAAACCCAAAGGCCAACACCCTAAAACCCTAAGCCCAAAGGCCGTCCTTGAGGTCTCCAGAGCTCAAAGGTTTAGGCTTTGGGCTTTAGGCTTTAGGGTTTGGGCTTTAGGATTTGGGGTTTAGGGTTTAGGCTTCAGGGTTTAGGGTTTAGGGTTTGGGGTTTAGGGTTTGGGGTTCAGGGTTTGGGGTTTAGGGTTTTGGGTTTAAGGTAAACCGCCCCAGATCACCCTCCCGATCACGGCTGCTCGCCAACGATACTTGCAACGACTTCCTCTCTCGAACACAAGCACTCTCTCTCTCTCTCTCTCTCACACACGCACACACCCCTCGCCGGCATCCTAAATCCTCAACACCTTATGCCGCAAACCATAGCGCCAAGGGCACCAAAAGTTGCAACGGTACGAAAAACGCTTTAATGCACGGGTCGGAATAAGTCGTCAGGCTGGGCGCTGGGCAGTGGGGGGGGGGGGGTGGGGTGAGAATTGTCTTGCAATGTTCCTTCGTTTACTGCAAAGCCCGCAACCACGAAATCCGAAGCTACTCTCTAGGCCCGAACACCGAAGCCCTCTTACACCCTATAAACACCTCCAAAAAACACTTGAAACCCCTACCGAAACCCATCGAAAAACCCACCCTACCTAAGACCCTATTCACAAGCCTGCGCCGAAAGCCTTACAGAAACTCTGTTTGCACCAAGAAGGAACCCTCCCTAAACCCTAAACCCTAAACCCTAAACCCTAATCTGACTAAGCCAGGACACAGGCAGCTGCGTTCACCAAGCTCACCACGTCCTGCAGGCTAAGATTGGGAAAGCTTCGGTTAGGGTTTAGGGTTTAGGGTTGACATAGTGTTCAGTCCCAAGGTCTAAAATTGTGCACAAACCGCTAAACTCCAAACCATAACCCAATTTGGGAGCTTCCGGAAATTAAGGGTACCTTATTTTAGGGTCCTTATAATACGGGTCCTACTATTTAGGGTACTAGATTAGGGTCCCCTATTTTCGGAAACTCCCAATTTGAAGCCTATTAAGGGGTTATTCGGGATTTGTGGGTTCTGCCAGGATTCGATGATCAGCTCGGCCATGCCGGTGCTGACGATCAGACAATCGAGGGCGTGCCAGCCTCAATGCTTTTTCGATTGTTCGAGGATCTTACCCTAAATCCTAAACCCAAAGCCGTAAAGCCTAAAGCCTTAACCCTAAACCC